TGGCGCGCCTCCCTTCACGCCTACCCCAGTTCATAACCTCCATGGTCGGCCTCACCCCCCGCTTGATCGCTATTCTCCTGAGCGGTACGGTCTCTCTGTTATTGCTGAGCCCACTTCCTATCGAACTGCCATGACTCCACCTGAATGGCAGCTTGCGATGGCCGAGGAGTTTACTGCCCTTGAACACTTTGGCTATTATGTAACCAGTTTTCTTTCTGGACTGAATCCTTACATCAGAAGTCATGTGGAGTGTTTCAAACCTCCTGACATGCAGAAAACAGTATGGTATGCTAGTAGAATGGAAAAAGCTGGTGTTCCTGCTCAACCCAAGCCTTACTTTCCTCATCCTAAAAGACAAGTGGTGTTTGAACAAGCAAAACCACCCCTAGCTGCTCCAATACAGAACAGAAACACAATCATACAACAAGCTAAACAAAACCAAGTCTGCTACAGATGCAGAGAGCCATGGGTGCCTGGCCATAGGCAAGTGTGCAGAATGAGCCAGAAAGCACAAGTGCAGGCATTGCAAACACAAGAAGAAGAAAATGCAGAAATCATTTATGTCACAGATTTTGAAGATCCTGATTTAGAACAAGTTGTGCCACCTCCTGACAGTGATGTGTTACAAGTCTCTATGCATGCTGCCATGGGCATTGGTGCAATGAAGAACACTTTCATCTTAATAGTTAAAGTGGGCAAAACAGTGGCTACAACACTTGTGGACAGTGGAAGCACTTCTACCTTTGTGCCTCCTGACATGGCTGCAAAACTACCTGTTGCCCCAGTACCAAACCCAAAGATTAAAGTGCTAGTAGCAAGTGGAGGGGTACTGTGGAGTGAGTTCACTTCCAACAACTGTCCCTATGAAATACAGGGCACACAACTAAAGGACACCTTCAGAGTTCTAAAGCTGAAAGGATATGATATGATTTTGGGAGTGGATTGGTTAAGAAAATATAACCCTCTTCTGATGGACTTCTTTAAAATGGAAATGAGAATTAATGCAGCACCAAATACTCTAGTAACATTTGTAGATGAAACTGTACCCTTGTCTTCACCTGTGGAAATCACAAATAATGCAAAAAAAGTTAATGGATCAAGCTGTCTGTGGATTTTTCCTCCTGTCTGCAGGTCACACTGTGACATCTGCTACTGATCAGCAGATCCCTGAGGAACTCCAAGAACTCATTCAGCAGTATGACAAGTTATTCAATGCCCCTACTAAGTTACCTCCAAGTAGAGCCTGTGATCATAGGATTCCACTAGTGGAAGGAGCAAAAGTGGTAAACCAGAGACCCTACAGAGTACCCATCACCAGTAAGAAGCACTAGAAAAGATCATATCCGAGCTCCTGAAAGCTGGTCTGATTAGACCTAGCACTAGCCTCTTCTCTTCACCTGTGCTTCTTGTTAAGAAGAAGGATAGAACTCTGAGGCTCTGCATTGATTACATGAAACTGCATGCTATCACCATAAAAAACAAATATCCCATTCCTGTGATAGAAGATCTTCTAGACCAGTTAAAAGGAGCAACGGTTTCCTCTAAAATAGATCTCAGAAGTGGGTATCATCAAGATATGAATGGCTAAAGAAGACATCCACAAGACATCATTTTCTACTCTCCAAGGGCACTTTGAATTCCTAGTTATGTCTTTTGGTTTAACCAATGGCCCTCCCACATTTCAAGCTCTCATCAACTTCTTGTTTGGCCCTTTTGAATTTGTGGTAGTTTTCTTTGATGACATTTTGTTATTCAGTCTGACCATGGCAGAGCACAAGCTGCACCTGAAGAAAGTCTTTCAGGTCCTGCAAGAAAATCACTTATATGCCAAACTGGACAAGTGTTCTTTTGGTCAATCTGAAATAGAATATTTGGGCCATGTTATTAACAAGGAAGGTGTGGCAACTGACCCCACTAAAATTGCTGCTATCAAGGAGTGGCCAGCCTCCACAACAGTAACTGAACTCAGAAGTTTCCTGGGCCTGAGTGGTTACTACAGAAGATTCATTCAGGGATATGGCATAATTTGCAGACCCCTTTTTGACTGCCTGAAGAAGGACTCCTTCTCTTGGCAGCAGGAACAACAAGCAGCATTTATAGCTATTAAAGAGAAACTCACACAAGCTCCTGTCCTGGCCCTACCAGATTTCTCTAAACCCTTTGTGTTGGAAGCTGATGCAAGTGGTTATGGCCTAGGAGCTGTACTGATGCAAGATGGAAAACCCTTGTCTTACTTCAGTAAGTCCATTGGACCAAAGGCACTAGCATGGTCCACTTATGACAAGGAAGCTCTGGCAATTATTGAAGCTGTGAAAAAATGGAAACACTACTTCTTAGCAACTTCTCTGATCACCAGAACTGACTAGGAGAGCTTGAAATACATTCAGGAACAAAAATTAACTAAAGGAATACAACACAAATTATTACTCAAGCTGTTGGGCTACAATTTTACAATTCAGTACAAAAAGGGCAAAGAAAACAAGGCTGCTGATGCACTGTCTAGGGTCAAGCACATGATATCACTCCTGTCTACCAGTATCACTACCCCTAAATGGGTTTCTGAAGTAATCAAGAGCTATCCAGCAGATCAGAAAATCAAAGATCTCATAGCTGAGTGTGCCACCACAAGGACATTAACACTGGATATACATTCAAGAATGGTATCTTGAGATTTAAAAACAGACTTCTTATTGGAACTGCTACTTCTTTGAGACAGGACATATTGCAAACTTTTCATGCATCTGAATTGGGAGGCCACTCTGGACAAAGAGCAACTTATCACAGGGTCCACTTGGTTTTTCACTAGCATGGCCTCAAACAGGATGCCATTGACTTCATCAAACAATGCCCTGTCTGCCCGATAAACAAAGCTGAGCATACTTCTTACCCTGGCCTGTTGGAGCCCCTGCCAGTCCTAGATTTTTCTTGGGCCCACATCAGCATGAACTTTGTTGAGGGATTACCCTCCTCTGAAGACAAAGACCTCATTCGGGTGGTAGTGGACGGATTCACCAAATATGCCCATTTCATTGCCATGAAACACCCCATAACTGTCCAAACTGTGGCTAGAGCCTTTTCTGACACAGTGTTCAAACTTCATGGAATGCCATTGGTCATAGTAACTAACAGGGACATAATTTTCACAAGCAACTTGTGGCAACAGCTGTTTAAATCACTAAAAATCAAACTACACATGAGCACCAGCTATCATCCCCAAACAGATGGCCAAACAGAGAGGGTGAACAAGTGTTTGGAGAATTATTTAAGGTGCATGTGTTTCCAACAGCCAAGGAAGTGGCATGCATGGCTGGCCCTAGCTGAGTGGTGGTACAATACAAGTTTTCACACTTCATTGCAAATGACTCCCTTCCAGGCTTTGTATGACTTTCCCCCACCTATGGTAGCTGATCTGCATTGCCTGACTATTTCTGAGGATAGTGACAACTTGCTACAGAACAGAGAGCTGTCTCTTGAAGTAATCAAGCAGAACCTCTCCAAGGCACAACAAAGAATGAAGCACTTTGCTGACAGAAACAGACATTAAAGAACATTTGCTGAAGGAGACATGGTTTACTTGAAGTTCCAGCCCTACAAACACACTTCCCTCAGTCTGCATAGACACCTCAAGTTGCACTCCAAGTTCTATGGTCCATTCAGAATTATGCAAAGAGTTGGCTGAGCTGCCTACCAACTCCTCCTACCTGAAGGCTGCCACTTACACAACACTTTTCATGTGAGTCAACTCAAGAAGCACATATGGCCCAAAGTAATCCCTTCCAAGAACTTACCCCTCATTGGTGCTGATGGAGTTATCCAAATGGAGCCCGAAGCAATCTTGGAAAGGAAGTTAATCCCAAGACCCTAGGGCAATATCAACATTCCAGTCGTCCGCTGGTTAATCAAATGGGTCAACATGCGGGAGGAAGCAGCCACCTGGGAGGACTTGGCCTTCATCGAGAAGGTTTCCCCTTCCTTTCAAGCTTGAGGGCAAGCTTTATCTCAACGGGGAGGATTTGTCAGGCTAGATTAGTGCAGCTCTGAAGAATTGCCCCGTTCCAGCGTGTCGGAAGCGTCCCTGGCCGTCGATCTACCATCCAGCGGCTCTCGTATGAGGATAACGGTTTGCCACTGGCTGGTCATCTCATCCTTAGATCTTCCATCCAACGGCTGCCCTTACTCCGAATGTCGCTGTTGATCATCCGACACAACATGCTCTGTTTTTGCTTTCTGTTTCACTTTTCATCTGTAATGGCTATATAGCCACCGCTCCCTCTCAGTTTTGGGCATACCATTATTGTAATTGGGTAGAAACCCTAGCTACTTTCCCCATTCTCGGCAATACAAACCCTGCTTTCTATTTCACTTTTCATCTATGATGGCTATATAGCCACCGCTCCCTCTCACTTTTGGGCATATCATTATTGTAATTGGGTAGAAACCCTAGCCACCGGTGGCGTGCTGTGCTACTTTCCCCATTCTCAGCAATACAACCGCAGTTGCCTCGAATTCTTCTCTGAAATTGAGTTGTTGAGTGCTTAGTTATTTCGATCCTTGTCAAGTTCCTGACACTACACCCCATCTTCTTCTTTTTCCCCAGCCGAACGTACCGCCGGCCAGGCGGCCACCACCGCCAAATCGCCTTATCCACGTGCGGTGCCTTGTGCCCGTGCAAGGGGTTAATCAGCTCCCGTGGTTTCTTCAGGCTTCAGTGTGTGGTTGCTGAGCAGAGAGGTGCTCAGAGGCCACATCTACTCTATCTCGAGCGCATCTGGATTTGCTTCGTCCCTGCCTCGCCAGCGGCGACTGCGTATGTATGGCAGAGCACCAGCCAAAGCAGGGTTTTAGTTTGCCAAAAGAAAAAAAAGACACCCCAACTGGTGAGCTACTGAGCGTCGTTTATTGATCTCGAAATAGCGTAAGCCATGACAAAATGGGGAACCGATTTTAGTCTAGGCACCCAGTTACAACATCATCCCCACATTACCAAATCACGCAGCAAATCAGCTGACTATACCCCTCTTGGCGCCGTCCACCGTGTTCTTCAGCAACATCGCCACGGTCATCGGCCCGACGCCTCCGGGGACCGGAGTCAGGTGACCCGCGACCTTGCTCGCCTCCGAGAAATCCACATCGCCAACGAGTCTGTACCCAGACTTCCTGGTTGGGTCGTCGATGGAGTTTGTCCCGACGTCGATGACCGCCGCGCCTGGTTTGATCCAGTCTCCCTTGATCTAACAGCCAAGAGAACACAGCAGTCAGAATTAAGGCAACACCATAAAATAGGGTGGGCTTCTCGCCGCAGAATAATGTACCATCATGGCCTGGCCAGCTGCTGCAATGACAATGTCTGCTTGACGGACAATTGTTTCGGGATTTGGGGTCCGTGAATGCACGATCGACACGGTTGCGTCCGCTTTCAGAAGGAGAAGGGATACTGGTAAACCCACAATGTTGCTACGCCCAACCACAACTGCGTGTTTTCCTTTTACAGTGACGCCACTTCGTGACAGGAGCTCCATGCATCCCTTCATATAAGTGAACAAAGACACGAAGGCAAAGATGTTACAAATGAAAACTGCAGTCAAACCAGTGTTGAGAAATGCCGTGCTTAAGTGTTGCAATCGATACCTTTGGCGTGCAAGGTACAAACAGTGGATCTCTGCCTTTCATTGCGAGCTTGCCAATGTTCAAAGGATGAAAGCCGTCGACATCTTTCTCAATGGAGATCTGGTTCAAGATATTTTCTTCGTTGATATGCTTGGGCAATGGAAGCTGAACAAGAATTCCTGGTGCAAAAGGAAATACTCAATAGAGTCAGTATACAAGCTTTGCTACATGTAGGAATAAGAATTCCAAATATCAGACTGTAGAAGCGTAGAGCCTAGAGCTAGCAAAGCAACATTCTAGCAACGAAGTAAATCATATCAAAATAGTAGTTATCTGAAAATTTAAGAAACTGGCAACCACATTTCAAAAAGACAACCTGATCGACCAAAGCTCCATTTTGTGCCCTATAGCTTCATATTTGCTCTCTAAGGAAACTGATGACTTGTGCCAGAAGCTAGAGATGGTGATCTAAGTCAGGTAACAAAACTCCTATGGCCCAAGAGCATGAGAACAAAACTAATTAGGCACTAACATGAATGCATGATTTACAAGCATGCCCCAACAGAAAATTCCAACCATCAGCGAAGCAATAATTCCCCCAAATATTAGTCATTGTGCTGATGTGAACTAGGGCATGTCATTCTCTTCACAGGTGACTTATAACTAAAGTCCATGCCTAATCCAGTGAAGCGACCACTTAAAATTACATTCCCAATCAAAGCTAATCCCTCAGAAACTGGGGAACAGAACACACAAGATGATGAGTACTGATGCCATTCTGGGCCAAAATTTTGGGCTCCGGCACGCCTGAAACAACTTAAGAACAACCAAAGTGTATCACCCCGTGAAACAATGTTCCAGTTCAAAATTATATTCCCAACCAAGCAAATCTCTCAGAAATTGGGAACGAAAACACACATAATGGTGAGTACTGATGCCATTCCGGGCTAAAATTTGGGATCCAGGACGCCTGAAAACAGAGTGTCGCCCAGTAAACAACGTTCCATTTCAAAGGATTGAACTATACACGAATAAACAGGATCAGACTTCTCTATCCTCTCACGCTAAGTCAACTGAAGAGCAAATCCGGCCAGGGAAACCCAAGCAGTAAGCGAATGGCATCCCAGCCACAAAGGCGTGATCTCGAGTGCAACCAGGACCGAATTTAACCATCTCCAAATTCATCTGAACAAACCAGCTAGGAATGACTGCATCTACGGCACAAGCAGACTGACACAGGAGTGGATTACAGTGCCAGACACAGCATCCATGTTCTCCCAGTACCACGAAAGGAAGAGCATATCCGATTCGGCTGCGGAGGAGATACCGTGGACGGCGGGGTCGGCGTTGAGGCGGTGGACCTCGGCGACGAGCGCGGCCTCGGAGATGTCCTCGGGGAGGTCGACGTCGAAGGAGCGGATGCCGACCTCGGCGCAGGCCTTGCGCTTCATCTGCACGTATGTCTGCGAGTCCTTCCTGCTCCCCACGATCACCACCGCCAGCCCCGGCACCTGCGACAGAAGGAAAAAGTCAGCGTCACGGACATTATCCCAATCCGCAGCAGGTCGATTGGTCCAGCGGCGGCGTCGGGTGGGATAGGGGCTCACGATGTTGTGGGCGGACGAGAGCGCGGCGACCTCGGCGCCGATCTCGTGCCTGATTTCGGCGGCGATGGCCTTGCCGTCGATGATTTGCGCCATTGGGGTAGCACTAGATTCTCTCCCCTCTCTCTCCTTCTCTACTTGCAGCTACGACGACTGCGACTCGAGTTCTTTTTTTTTTAGGGGACTCGAGTGCTGTGTGGGTTAAGTCATTCTGGGCCTGCTACCTACGTGGGCTGTTTCTGATTGGGTTTTCTGTATAAATAGGCCCTGTGCGCAAATGGGAACCTCGATATAGGTAACTGGATAAACATTTTTTCTAAAAAAAGGTAACTGGATAAGCCCATAAAAAAGTAACTGGATAATATCTCTACTATCAAAAATAATGCAAGGTTCTAAATTTTTTAAAAAGAATGCAAGGTTTATGTTTCACTTTTTCTTCTTCCAACCTCTCTATTATGCCCCCCCCCCTTTTGTTTTTTCCCCTCCCATCTTTGGTTTTTCTCTCAACGGATTTCTCTAAAATCGAATCAACTGTCCCACATCTTATTAACTTGCCTATATAAACTAATATTTTTTAAATCACTACTCTAGTGATCTAAAAGGATATTAGTTTACAAAGGGAGTAAGTTCTTACCCAATAAGTGCTTAACAATAAAATGACAAGCAAATCATGGTTATTGCGCATAAAAAATTACTAAGATTTTAGCGCATCAATATAATAATAGACATGCAGCCACATGCTAATCTACTAGATTATATATGCTCCGGTTGCGATGCAGGTGCAATTATCTAGTCAACTAAAAAAGTAACTAGATAACATTTCTAAAAAACTTTAAAATGATAATTGTACAATACTCACACATCATTGCTGGAACCTTGTGAAAATAAGTGCATAATTAGGTGTCACAAAAATCCTTCTTTTTAGAACCCGCCCACCCAGATTCAATTCTTAGACTAGAAGGAAAAAGTCCTGACACCTGCGACAGAAGAAAAAAGTTAGCGTCACCGACATTATCCCAATCCATAGCTCGTCGATTGGTCCAGTGGTGACGTCGGATGGGAAAGGGGCTCACGATGTTGTGGACGAACAAGAGCATGGCAACCTCGACGGTGATCTCGCGCCTGATTTTGCCGGCGATGGCCTTGCCGTCGATGATTTGTGCTATTGGGGTACCAGTAGACTTAGAGTGCTCTCGGTTTGTAATTCTGAGCCTGCTACCTACGTGGGATGTTTCTGATTGGGCTTTCTACGTAAATAGGCCATGGGCCCTGCTTCTGTACTGTGTTTCATAAGATAAAATGAAAACCCCTAAATAACGCTAGAAATCTAATGCTAAAGCAAATGTAAAGTGCTCTCGGTTTGTAATTTTTAAAAAATAAAACATATGAAGCATGTGACAGAATATTGTACAATATAGAGGAAGAAAAACTTCTGGATTGAAGTTAACGTAATGCTATTCTTAAAAATAATAAGAAGTGAACTCCGTAGGTTTGCTCTGAGCGTCTAAGCATATACAACCCATGTCTACACAAAAAACGATGAATTTCTTTAGAAAAATGCTTCTTTTAGACCGATTGATTCTCACATATCATCTGTTGCCTCCCCCTTACTCCATCTGTCCCTATGGGACAAACACATTGCTTATGCCCTTTCTATATTATCTTCTCGGCCCAACTGAGCCTCCCGCCTCTCCCCTTTCGATCCCCTCCACCCCTCTCTCTCCAAACGGCCCTTCCCTTCAGGGAGCGTTGCCTCTTTCTCCTTGAAGCGCCATCCCCTTCGGTGAACTGGTGCTCCCAAGAATCATGCACCTTCCCTCCCTGTTCTCTCTCATTGGGAAGTGGAACTCTTGCACACACTGTTGGTGAGAGGTGACAACTGCTATGCGAAGTCGTTGACCAGTGTTGTTCGAGGGCGATACAAGCCTGCTGCTAGTGTTACAACTGGGATCTTGTTGAAGCCGCACGCGTGTCTGTCAGTGCTGCAAGGGTGCTCACCATTGCATGATGGTTGCAGAGGTCGTTGGGGGTTGCAACATTGCTTATTTTGTGGTGGAAACGTGCCCCAACCACACGTGAGCAGTGTTTTGCAGAGGCCCACGTGTTCTGAAACGTCATGCAAACTGGAGGTGACGGCAACATGGTCCATGTTGCAATGGGTGACAGAAGTCACACTATTTTGCAACGTCATGCAAACTGGAGCTGACCACAACATGGTCCATGTTGCAATGGGTGACCAAAGGCTCATGCGTTTTGCAATGTCATGCAAGCTGAAGGTGATCGCAACATGGTCTATTGTTGCAATGGATGACCGCAACATGGTCCATATTATGATGGGCGATCAAAGACCCACGTGTTCCCATAGTCGGGGCTCGCTGTCGGAATCCGATAGCTTTGAGCTATTTTTGGAGTATGTTGAGCTCCAAATTTTGTTTTTTTTGCTTGACATACAACTTCAGTATTGCTTCTGATGCTCTACACATCTTCAAGGTAAATGCATATTTGCACATTTATTTTTGTGTGAATTTACTCTTTATCTAGATGTTTCAGGATTTCGTCATGAAACATATTTTTGTTATTAACTTCTCACCACGAGCAGATCACTCTGTTTTTTTCCTTCCGAAAATGTATTGTGTTTGTTGAGTTCATATGCTTTTGTGTGCGCCAACACTGTTGGATTATCAAATCTTTGACTCTGCCTTCTTATACTACACCTATAGCTTTGCTTGGTTGGAGGGAATTAGTGGCACAAAATGAGAATTTGAGGGGTAAGAGACATTTAATCCACTGTTTAGTCGGAGGTTAAGGAGTTGAGGAGGCTGATTGCTACATATCTCTTCTCTGCTCTCTCCCTGTTAATTCAGGTGGGATGTTAGATTCCTCCTACTAATTCCAACATAGAATAAACATGGTTTTGAGACTAAAAACCAACCTCCCATGCCTAATCTCCTGATAAATTCCACCTCTAAACTTCCATTCCCTTTTCTCCATTGTAGCCAAACACGCTGCCAGGGATTTGCATGTGCAGTGTTGCCTACCTAATGCGTATACAGATACTATTTGGACGCCGTATGAAGAAATTGAACGCTCAGCACAAGCTGAACCAGATCAGTAACATTATAACATACAGTACTTGATAGTTCCCTTCCTCTTGTCACTAACATCTTGTTCAATTCTTTTAACTTGCGAACTAGCTACTGCCACGGCGCCGTCAGTAGGTAGTGAAGCAAGGGTACGTATGGCGGCCTGTGTTAACCCTATTCACCTCGGTGTTTGCTGGGCCTGCAATGTTGTTGCCTAACATGTAACCCCCAGTTACTGGTATCAACGAAGAAAACGAAAAGCAAGGAGCAGAGCAAAAGGACCCATCACCATCAATTCAGATTTCAGAAACAACGTAATATGGTCGATTTAAGTTCAGTACGCAAAAAAGAAATAGCCTGCGCTTGGGATCTCGACGTGATCACTTGCAGGTAGGGTCGAGGACGTGGCCGGCGAACACGATCACCCCTGAGCGCTCCTCCATGATGATGAACGTGAACGGATGGTCGGCGACGAACTCCACATGGTCCGGCATTGGTCCGCCGCCACGCAAGGCCGTCATGACCGCAGCCGCGTCGGTCCCTTCCTCATTCACCTTGATGATCGCCTTGTGCGCAACCTTGGTCAGGAAGGTCGGCCGCCCGTCGTCCTTCTTGTACATGCCTCGCAGGTCGCCCGCCTTCCGCGAGAAGGGCAGCGTGAGTCCCAGCCGACGGAGGTCACTACCAAGGTCCCAGTCCAATGACACCTCGAACTTGGGGAGGTTGATTTGCACTAGCTTGGTTTCCGTGGGCAGGACGCTGTAGAGGTACCCAGGTGCCGCGGTGATCACGTCCACCATGGTGGCCATGCCGTCGCGCTCGTCTGGGAGGAAGACAAACATGGAGAACTGGGTGGCATCCTCGCCCAGAGGCGTCTTGACGGAGGTGGCCCGTGGGCCACGGTGGATCTTGTAGGGAAGCCCCCCTGGGGCGGGTTCATATTCCCCGTCCGGGCCGTACGGGAGCTTGAGGACCTTGAAGCCGTCCATGCACGAGATGGACATGGTCTTGAGCTCGTACATGAACGCTGCCTTACGTGGCTGCCGTCAAGCCGGTGGAACTCGCCCGATGACGTGTGGCAAACGTTGAAGGGATTGAGCCAGCTGCCCTTGAAGTAGACCGCGTTGGCGAGCACGAGGTCGGTGTCGGCGGTGATGTCGCTGCGTGAGATCATGGAGTCGATGAGGTTGTTGGTCGCCTTCTTCACCCAGCGGTTGATCGTTTCCACTGCTTCCTCCGGCTGAACATACAATGACCATCGATATGATCTCAGTTTATAGTTTATACCAAATGTGCAGAAGTTAACATAAAACTGTAAACATATGTTTCTTTCACCCAATGGCCAGCTGATTAACATTAATTAGAACATGTTCTCAAAGAAAAAATAAGTTTGGAAGATTGTTTCTAATGATTTTTTTTGAGGGAATTGTTTCTAATGATTTGATTAAGATTAATTCGAAGATGTTCTCAAAGAAAAATAAATAAGATTAGAAAATTGTTGCCTTGTTTGTTAGGATTTGTCATGTTGAAAAAAATGCTCAACGACATCCCGTTCATGATTGTCCACAGATCCATATTAATTCTACTACAGATTTGCCTCGAGTATTGATCCATATTAATTCTGCTAAAGATTTGGCTGGAGTAGGAGGTTAGGGTTCCAGAGCACAAACAATCGCCTCTACTAACCTCATCGGTGAAGCTGACGGTGCGGGTCTCGGACTTGTAGGACTTGGCGGCGACCTCCTTGAACGCCTCCTTGAGTCCGCCGCGCGAGGCGTCGACCCAGACGCCGCCGCCGAAGAGCACGCGCGGCCCGCCGGAGCCCACCTTGTCGGCCAGGACGCGGTCGGCGACGAGGCGACCGAAGGCAGCGAGGCCGTCTGCCGTCGGCGCGCCGAGGAAGTTAAGCAGCTGGGCCCGCGTGGCGCCGCCCGCACCCGCGGCCACCAGCGCGAGGCCAGCGTGGATGGAGACGGGCGAGAACGCGACGTTCTTAGCGGCGGCGTCCGCGTCTGCGGCCGCGAGGTGCTTGACGAGGCGGAGCGCGAGGGCCGTCTGCCCGTCGCGGACTGGGTCGGCGGCGGCCATCGGGAGCAGGTACGTGCCACGGCGCAAAGTGGACGAACTATACGTATTGTAGGTTAGGTGTATATAATCAATCTTTTTTAAGAAATGGTTAGGTATATCGATCTTTTTTTTGCGTCGAATATGGGAGCTTTTATTAACTGATAATCATGGTGTTACAATCCATCCGTAGGCAGGAATGGAGGAAATCAGGGCTCACATCGAGCCAACTCTCCGTCCACTCTATTTTGCTGGCTAATTTTGCACAAAGGTGGGCCGGAGTATTAATCTCCATACTGACATGGGTAACAGAGAAAGAAGCAAAACTAGCATTAATCTCCTCTAACTCGGTCAAGATAGGTGCCTCCAAGGAGACGCTCGAATTTTCTTTTGTATGTACGATTTGCTACCGATCGAAATTGATACTAGCAGAATCGCGAAAATTTTCACCTTAAATAGAAAACCCAAATGATAACGCACACACACGTGTGGCATGTTTATATTTCATCCACACGCGTTGATCCACGTTAATTCTGTTTTGCATGAATCGTAAAGGAATCTGTTAGATTTTCAGTGCCACGTGAGCATAATCGTGTGTGTGGGCGTTGGAGAATTCGCCCACACGACCCGCAACACGTAGTTGCCAGCTGCGTCGTCTGGGCGAATCAGTTCCCGCCCACAGGGTCACCACCTAGTCCGCCCGCGTGTGGGTGAACTGCTCTTCGCCCACACGACAACTCGTACGTTGATAGATGGCAATTGTAGTTGCGCGTTTGTGGCAACTAGGTAAACACACATGGCAACTATGATTTGTTGACAGATGGCAACTGCAGTTGCGCGTACGTGGCAACCAGATAAACACACCAGGCAACTATGATTAACCATACATGGCAACTATGGTTGGACCACACGTGGCAACTAGGTACGCACATGACAACTATTGTTTGACCACATGTGGCAAGTAGATAATCACAGACGGAAACTATGGTTTGATTAAACGAGGCAACTATTATAAATTAGATGGATAACTAAAGTTGCCATCCTCGGGGTAACTGAAGCGTCATCCTGTAGGTAATTAATGTAGCTGTCAGGACGTGTGGTCATTTTTGCTTCGTGCCACACGGACGAGGTGGGGATAAGTAGTATTTGTTGGGCGTGTGGCACGAAGTAGGTGCGTCCACACGAATGAGCAGTTCTAATGTTCGCCCACACATGGCATGTGTGGGCTGCCTCCTACTTACACCACACATGGTGTATGGGTGGGTGTTGCTCCCACCACATGTGTGGGCGTTATCAGCGTCCATAAAATTTTCAGATTTTCGATAAAAAGTAAAATCATTCATGTTGCAACATGTCGGCTTCAGTATGTCGACCGAAGATGTCTGCCCGACCCGGTTGATTTCCTGAAGGCACTACTAGGTGCCAGTCAGCTGGCCCAGCAAACCGTTTGATTCAGAAAGCTGCAGTCGTACTGCGTCTTCCTTCTCAGACGTGCGCATCATCCCTTCTCCTTTTCCACGCGCGTCGAGAAGAAACCGCCCCCTCCCTCCCCTCCTGCACCAGTCGTTCTTCGGGTCCACCCTCCCACGAAGGTCGCCGCTCTCGCCGCGGGTCGGAGTTCGCCGTAGACGGCGCTCGCAACCTCGCCGTTGTCGTTACACATCATCCCGGTCGTTTGCGACCTCGTCGCCGTTGGTTGCAACTGCCCCTCCCACCTTAGCAGCATCACTACTCACATCCTCGCCGTTGTAGATTGCAACCTCGCCATCGTAGTCATTGATGGTTCCAGCATTCAAAATAGTCGGTTCCAACACCCTCACTCGTCGGTCGAAGCTTTTCTCGGGGCCGTGATACATCTCCAACATATCTATAATTTTTTATTGTTCCATGCTATTATATTATCTATTTTGGATGTTTAATGGGCTTTATTATACACTTTTATATTACTTTTGGGACTAACCTATTAACCAGAAGCCCAGTCCAAATTGCTGTTTTTTCTGCCTATTTCAGTGTTTCGCAGAAAAGGAATATCAAACGGAGTCCAAACGGAATGAAACCTTCGGGAGAGTCGTTTTTGGAATAAACGCAATCCAGGAGACTTGGAGTGGACATCAAAGAAGCAACGAGGCGGCCACGAGGCAGGGAGGTGCGCCCCCACCCTCGTGGGCCCCTCGTGGCTCCCCTAACCGACTTCTTTCACCTATATATACTCATATACCCTCAAAACATTCAAGAGAACCACGAAACCCTATTTCCACCGCTGCAACCTTCTGCACCCGTGAGATCCCATCTTGGGGCCTTTCCCGGTGCTCCGCCGGAGGGGGAATCGATCATGGAGGGCTTCTACATCAACACCATAGCCTCTCCAATGATGTGTGAGTAGTTTACCTCAGACCTTCGGGTCCATAGTTATTAGCTAGATGACTTCTTCTCTCTCTCTTTGGATCTCAATACAAAGTTGTCCTCGATCTTCATGGAGATCTATTTGATGTAATTCTTTTTGTGGTGTGTGTCGAGATCCGATGAATTGTGGGTTTATGATCAAGATTATCTATGAACAATATTTGAATCTCCTCTGAATTCTTTTATGTATGATTTGTTATCTTTGCAAGTCTCTTCGAATTATTAGTTTGGCTTGGCCTACTAGATTGATCTTTCTTGCAATGGGAGAAGTGCTTAGCTTTGGGTTTAATCTTGCGGTGTCCTTTCCCAGTGACAGCAGGGGCGGCAAGGCACATATTGTATTGTTGCCATCGAGGATAAAAGATGGGGTTTATATCATATTGCTTGAGTTTATCCCTCTACATCATGTCATCTTGCCTAATGCGTTACTCTGTTCTGATGAACTTAATACTCTAGATGCATGCTGGATAGCGGTCGATGTGTGGAGTAATAGTAGTAGATGCAGAATCGTTTCGATCTACTTATCGCGGACATGATGCCTATATACATGATCATGCCTAGATATTCTCATAACTATGCACTTTTCTATCAATTGCTCGATAGTAATTTGTTCACCCACCGTAATGCTTATGATATCTTGAGAGAAGCCACTAGTGAAACCTATGGCCCCCGGGTCTATTTTCCATCATATAAGTTTTGATCTATTTTATTTTGCAATCTTTACTTTCCATTCTATATCATTAAAATACCAAAAATATTTATCTTATTATCTCTATCAGATCTCACTTTTGCAAGTGGCCGTGAAGGGATTGACAACCCCTTTATCGCGTTGGTTGCAAGGTTCTTATTTGTTTGTGCAGGTACAAGGGATTTGAGTGTAGTCTCCTACTGGATTGATACCTTGGTTCTCAAAAACTGAGGGATATACTTACGCTACTTTGCTGCATCACCCTTTCCTCTTAAAGGGAAAACCAACGCATGCTCAAGAGGTAGCAAGAAGGTTTTCTGGCGCCATTGCCGAGGAGTCTACGTACAAGTCAAGACATACCAAGTACCCATCACAAACTCTTATCCCTCGCATTACATTATTTGCCATTTGCCTCTCGTTTTCCTCTCCCCACTTCCCCCTTGCCGTTTTATTCGCCCTCTTTTTCCCGTTCGCCTCTTTTTCGCTTGCCTCTTGTGTGCTTGTGTGTTGGATTGTTTGTCACGATGGCTCAAGATAATACTAAATTGTGTGATTTTTCCAATACCAACAACAATGATTTTCTTAGCACTCCAATTGCTCCTATTACCGATACTGAATCTTGCAAAATTAATGCTGCTTTGTTGAATCTTTTCATGAAAGATCAATTCTCCGGCTTTCCTAGTGAAGATGCCGACACATCTAAACAACTTAGTTGATTTGTGCGATATGCAAAAGAAGAGAGATGTGGACAATGATATTGTTAAATTGAAGCTATTTATGTTTTCTTTTAGAGATCGTGCTAAAACTTGGTTTTCGTCTTTGCCTAAAAATAGTATTGATTCATGGAATAAGTGCAAAGATGCTTTT